GGGCATAGAAAAACAAGAAAATCTCCACCACCTCCATATTTCCATTTCTCTTTTGCTCCTTTGCAGTCACCAGTGCCCCAGTCATCAACTTTTGAGCCTGGCTTCCTTCCCTTTCCTCAGCAGACAACGCATTTGCTGCATGTCCCAGGTGCTCCATGTGCCAACATGTGCTCTTCTCACTCTGGAACAGCTGCATTGCATGGAGGACCACAGTTTCCCACACATTCCAACTGGACAATAGTGAGCACATCTAAAGAACACCAATAAAGCTTCCATAGGTATCAATATTTCTGAACAGGCGTGTACAACTGTTTTCATTTCACTTCAATAAAGTCCTAGGAAAGGAATGACTGGGTCAAAGGGAAACACATTCAACGTGTGAAAAGCTGTCAAAATGTTGTCCAAAGCAGATGCTGCTTTGCCACCTAATATTCTTACAAGCAATCAATGAGTATCTAGCTGCTCCATACCTTGGAAGCCAGGCAAGGTTTGGGGTTGGGTTTTTGTTTGTTTGTTTGTTTGTTTTGTTTTGTTTTTATGTTTGTCTTTTCTCCTGAAGCATTAGGTGTGGAGTGGTATCTCACTGTGGATTTAATTTGCATCTTGCTGATTACTGACAATGCCAAGCGGCTCGCCAAGCTCAACATCCTTGTATCTTCTTTCATGAAACATCTATTCAAGCACTTGGTCTGTTTTTCAGCTGAGATGCTTACTCTTTTATTATTGGGTTTTGAGAGTCCTTCATACATTCTGAGTAAAAATCCGTTGCTGTTGTGAGTCCTCCAGCTCTGTCTTGTGATGTGCGTCTTGACTTTTTATTGATAGGCTCGTCTTCTGAGAAGAAGAAAACTTTTAATTCTGGTGAACTCTGTCCAATTTTTAAATTACATTATGGGCCGTGCTTTTGAGTTATAGCCAAGAAATCTGTGTTTAACTCAAGGTCTGGAAAAGGTAGTCATGGTTTCTTGTTCTTTTTTTTTCCCCCTAGAGTGGTTTAATTTGGGCTTTTATATTCAAACCTATAATCTACTTGGAGTTAGTGTTTGTGTAGAATATCAGATGCAGCTGAGAACCAGGTCATTTTATATATTCCACATTATTTTAACAGACCAACCTCTCTTCACCTAATTGCCACAGAGCCTTTTGGAAAATCAATCCACCTTAACATGTGGATCTATTTCTGCGCTTTCCGATCTCTCCTATTGATCTGTCCCTTTTCCAATGCTAGACCCAGTTCCTTTATTATGTGAGACTTTTGTGCATGTATATTTGGATGTAATAGCACTACCTTGAATCTCTATTTCTTCCATCATTTTTAATGAAAATATTTATATATTTTTTTCTTGATCCATTTCTGATGCTCTAAGTTTTGCTTTCAAAATTCATAAACCAAGAATCCTGGAAAAGCTATGAACTATATAATCTCTTTTGTATGATACCCCGGAATAGGCAAACTATACAGGAGGATAGACAAGTGGTTGCCTTGCATTGTAGGGAGTATGGATGAAACAGGTGAAACAGTTGGATTTTCTTTGTAGGAAGCAAAATTGTTCTGTATGATGTCATAGTAGTGGATGCAAGACACTTATAGCACACAGAACAAACCTAAAGTTATGAAATTTGAAAATAAAACATGTATGATCTCATGGAATCTCAGGATGGAATATTGACTGTAATAAAATAAACTAACTATATTTAAAAATATGTGAAACAAACTGGTGGAAGGGATTGGGATTAAAAGTACTGACTTAAATTTTGGAAATAAGTAGAGTCTGTAAGATAAAAGACAAAAGACACTACATATAAATAGCCAGATCACCTACTTCCCACAGGGATAGGAGAAATGCTCATGAAACCATGGTGCATATATGAAGTTGAGTGATTACATGAATGGATGGCAGGTGGATAACCAGTTTTCTCATGGGCAGAATAGGAAGTTACAGGCAAACAGTGAAAGACACTAGACTGATCTATCCAGACTTGGTTTAAGATTATGAGCTGAATGCCTTATTTGTTACTGTGACCATGGGTGAAAGTGTATAGACACATGTATTTTGGGATGCATATCTTCACATGCAGGTATGTGCACAGCTGTGCTCTGGTTCTATCTGCTGAAAAGACCTAGAACCAGCAAAGCTCTGGCTGCAGTGTGCATGCCCCCTGCTCAAAAGATGGTTTCTACTTCCATCCTCTAACAAAAGGGTAAGGCAGCCCGGCTGAACACTAGAACAAGAAACATGCAAAGTCATCCTGGAAAGTACTGTAGTACCAGGCAGCAAAGGAAGTTCTCTTGCTAAGAAAAAACAACCAACCAACCAACCAACCATGCTTGACAGAGTAAGCCAAAGGGTCATGGGGCTGACTGAGAGAACGCTCAATGGCCACAGCTGGGAAACTTCAGCATCAGAATCAATATACCCATAGAGGACTATCACCTAATATATAAAATAAAAAAAGACAGCATATGCTAATAGGGAAATGTTTGAAGAAATAAATATCCAAGGGGAAGTGGGCAAGTTCTTTGTGCTAAAATGTCCCGCCCCCCCCCACAAGAGGTTAAACCTAAGGGCAGAAATCCACCAAATGGCATTCTTCCAAAGAACGTACACAGTCGGGAGGTCACTCAATATCGACTGTGTAAGTCCTACAGATATTGTACACTCTAGATATGGTGTGTTCAAAGGGCGTTCTGCTTCTGCCTCTTCCTCCTGGGAAACCTCTCCAGTCTAATCATGAAGCAAGCACCATGTGAATTTGATTTGTGATATGTTCTAAACTCCTTTAACAGTAAGCTTTAAAAATACCCCATTGTTATGTTGGGGTTACTAAAAAGCGGGGAGGGAATCTAAGACATGGTAAAGAAATATTCTCAAATATTGTATATACTGTGGAAATCTGAGTGGGATTCTGGAAACTTGGACATTAGGCACAATATGGGTACATTCAAAGAAAGCAAGGATAATAATGGTTAATAAGATTTTATTAATGTTATTCATGGAACTGGAGAGATGGTTCAGCAATTAAGAGTGCTTGCTGCTCTTCCAAAGGACACAAGTTCCATTTCCAGTACCCATATTACTTATCTTACAGTTATCCAAGGGATCTAGTGCACTGTCTGGCCTCTGGGTGCACCTCTACTCACATGCATAGACTCACAGAAACACACATAATTAAAAATGTCAAAATAAATAATTAAGATTATTGCCTAATTGTAGCAGGTGACTTATACTGGTTTGTGATGTACCTGGGAATTAGGTGCAGAATACCAGGGAACTGTCACCAAGTACCTATAAGTCTAAATCTATTCTGAAGCAAAAATACATGGTAAAGTAAACACCCACAGCCCCCTCTGCTTCCGTCAGTAGTGTGAGATGCCAAAGAGGCTCCATCTCACATTTTTCACCAATCTAAATTTCCTAAAGTTTCTTGGAAGAGTCAGACATCCAGATCCAACCCCAGTGGAAATGGTATCAGATTTTCCACGAGCTCTTACAAAGGATAGTGGGATGCTGTGACTGTGTATGCCCAGAACTTAAAGTACAGTTGGCTACAAGTTCTTTACCATCCCTCCCTAGGAGGGGTGAAATATCCCCAACTCTTCAATGTGTACTATCTTTACTTACTTAGTTGACAGGAAGTATGTAACAGAAGTGATTTTGCACACCGGACCAGGCAAGTTTTGCAGTCTGAAAATCTCTCTCTCTCTCTCTCTCTCTCTCTCTCTCTCTCTCTCTCTCTCTCTCTCTCTCTTCTTTTCTTTTTTTTATTGTTTTTCGAGACAGGGTTTCTCTGAGTAGCTTTGCGCCTTTCCTGGAACTCATTTGGTAGCCCAGGCTGGCCTCGAACTCACAGAGATCCGCCTGCCTCTGCCTCCCAAGTGCTGGGATTAAAGGCGTGCGCCACCGCCGCCCGGCTGAAAATCTCTTTAACAAGCCATGAAGGGCTATTCTCTTAAGGGGTTGAACTGCCTTGACACCAAAGTCCAAGACTTGTAGAAAGGCCAGCAAAGTACTCTGTTGACAGCTTAATGCAACTGCTCCCTAGTGCCAACCATCATGTGACCCACTGGGGACATCCATCCTAACCAAAGATGTCCCTTATTGAAGTCCCCACCTAATAGCAACTACCGAAGAGATCTTTAAGAAAGCCATTCAATTGAGCCAGACCATCTACAGAACCACAAGTCATAAGAGGTGCTTGGAAACACTGAGATTTTCAACAGTCCTTATACAGCCATACTGATTTCAGTGGATTTTTGGTAGTGTTTTTTATTAATTCTCTGAGAATTTTATGCATGCCTATGTTGTGGAATATTAAAGATGTGTTACATTTTTAAGGATATGGAACACTTGCTTAATGATGCAAAGATGTGTTGCATTCTTTTATATTGCATTTGTTTAACTCTGTAAAGCTGTGTTACCTTGCAAATCTAAAACACTCAGTTGGTCTAATAAAGAGCTGAAAAGCCAATAGCTAGGAGTGAAAGAGAATTAGGCAGGGCTGGCAGGCAGAGAGAATAAATAGAAGGAGAAAAAGAAGAGAAGGAGGAGGGTCAAGAAAAGGAGGAGAGAGGACACCAGAGGCCAGCCACACAGCCACATAGTCAGACATAGAATAAGAAGGAAAGAAATGATATACAGAAACAGAAAAAGGTAAAAGCCCAGAGACATGAGGTAGACAGGATAATTTAAGTTAAGAAAAGCTGGCTAGAAATAAGCCAAGTTAGTCTGGGCATTTATAAGTAATATAAATCTCTGTGCATTTATTTGGGAGCTGGGTAGCAGGCCCCCAAATAGCAAAGAGTAAAAACAACCAACAACATGCCTACACTGTTTTGGGATCAGGTTTACTCCTCACTTCTCTCCTCAGACTCAATTTTTAAAAAATATTTCATGTACAACAAGCCAACAGCAAACACTTATATGTGCCCCCTACCATCCAGGTTTGCCATTGAATCTGTGACTTTAAATCTTGGGGAAATCATTTATACTACAAAACATCTTCCAAGGAACCATGGGAAAGATCTTCTAATGACCCACCAGCAATAACACTGATGCCTTGCATCTTTCAGAGGATAACCAATTACTTTTTCTCAATTATATTGGAATTGTGGCTGGTTAACCTATAACAGGAACCTCAGAAAAGATAAATATAAGAAATACATCTGAACTCAGGTTTATTGAAAGACCCCCAAAGTTATCTTTAGAAAATATGAATTGATTCATTTAGTAGATTACTGATAGTAAGCCTCTAAAGCAAAAAAGCATTTATAACACTTACTTTACAG